CTAACAGTCTTTAATATTTACCAAATAGTGTCGCATTGTTGGAAATGTCACAGGCGCCACAGCACAGGGGTGATTCCACACAGTGATTCATGATGACTTAGTTCATTAAGAAAATTACAAGTCATTTATTTGGATGCTATATCTCTTTTGCTCTCAAAGAATTCTCTTTGATTAAAAAAGTGAATTATGTTGACTTGTTTCTATAGTGTAGGTGGCTTCTAATTAAAATAAAAAGATAATGTGTCTTAGCCTTCCATAGGTAGCTCCTTTTCAATGACCATTAGAAGTTTCAGTACAAAAGTAGTAATGGCAAATGCACAGCCATTTAGAGCGGAATTCCCTTCCCTTTTGCTAATCACATGCCTCTTGTTAGATGGCATCTCCATCAAATCTGCTGTTCTAGCCAGAGATCTGAGAGCCATCCTGGAAACCCACCACTCTTTCTTTCCTGCCAGCCACCCATCATTACCTGGTTCTGCCCATTTTACCTTCAAAACTTCATTTAAACATGTCCCTTCTCTCCACCTGCATGACCTCTACTCTAACCCATGTCACAGTCACTAACCAATAGTCTCCCAACTAATCTCCCGTTTTCTATCCCCCTTCCTCTTTCCACTCTGCACAGTAGCCAGAGAAATGTTTTACAAACTATCCGTGGTAAAAGACTAGGTATTTTTCCCCAATGCATCATGGGCCAACATTCTTGCAAAATAAGTAAAAATACAATAAAAATGTGCTTTGATGTTGCAGCAGTCAAAATGCTATGAGAGTTTCTAAATGCTTATGCCCCATTTCTGTACTCATCACTGTCTGGTAACAAACTTTGCAGTCCGGCACTGATCTGAGGCTCACATTTGGAGTTTCACTGAACTAGAGATATTTTTAGAAATATATAAAGCAGGTCACAAAACCACTGATTATGATTTCTAGCAAAATACAAGCTAAAATAGTTAACATCACCTACATGGCCCAGCCAGATCAGGCCTTTATTCTCCCTCCCAATATGTCCTCTGAGCCATATTGACTTTCTTTCAAGTCCTCAAAATGCTGAGTGTCTGCACCCATACTCCTCTCTGTCTGGAATGCTCTCCCCCTGCCTCTCAGCCTGACTTTTTCCTATGTTCTCCAGGTCTCATCTTAAATATCTCTTATGCAGAAAGACGCTGCCTCATCTTCCTGCCACTACCACTGCTAATAAAATTATTTGATATTCTTGCCCTTGAAAGATGGGGTCTATGACCACCCTTTTGAATCAGGGCAGGCTCTTGGACTGCTTGTCCAGTAGAACACAGTGGAAGGGATACTGCACCAATTTCCAGGATCAACCCTTAATATTAACTGCTTGCATTTGTGGTCTCTTGGATTAGGTGGTAGGTGAAAGCGTCTATTATACTCTATAAAAGTGTGACTGCCCAGAAACCTCCATGCTGCGAGGAAGCCCAAGCTAGCCATGTGGAGAGGCTCCACTTAGAGAAAGATGCCCAATCAGTTCACACGCCAGGGAGAGGAATGAAGAAGGCTTCAGATGACTCCAGTTTCAGCCACCATCTGACTATCCATAAAAGGGACCTCAAGTGGGAACCACCTCAGAGCCATTAGAGATAATAATAAGCTGTTATTGTTAGACACTAAGTTAGACACTGAGTTTTGTTTGTTATGTAGCAACAGATAACTGGAAGATTTCCCCTGCTGTTATTTGAGGGTGTCTTATCATTTTTCCTTTAAGGAATGTACATGGCAAATGTTGATAGGAGTTTGTCTTGGTTTGGATTTCCTTCAGAAGCAGAACCCAAGACAAAGATTTTATTTCAGGTAGTTCCTAGTCAAATAAAAAGATAATATTTCCTAGATTAAGTATATATTTCTTTTTCTCTACCTATTTCCATGCAAAATCATCATGATAATCAAAGAGCAGAACAGATTGTAGTTGCATTTTCCTCGTTCTTGTCATTATCTGGGGAGATGCTCCCGGGAGGTGCTACGAGCAAAACAAGGATGGGCTCTCTGAGGGCCATTGAGGCTCCATCGCACCGGGGACCTACAGGAGAGTGTGTGGGACATGCCTCACAAGTGCCCCACAAGTAGAGGGCATGCAAGAGAGTTGGAGCATCGATCCACCAACTCTTGCCATCCTTGGTTGCAGGTTACCTCTGGAATGTTGATTGCCTGACACATGTGCCTGTTCAGCAAGAGGGCACAGCACATTTCTGATGCTGGAGAATGGCCTCAGGCAAAGAGATGCAGGCTGCATGTTCAGAAAGCTCTGTGGATGCCTCTGGAGTAGAAGGAAGGGATGCGGTGACTAAATTCCAAGGGGCAGGAGGTAGGTCTGTTCAATCTCTGCTTTATACATATACAGTGCCTAGTGCTTACAAGGCATGCAACCAATATGTGTTGAATGAGTAAAGGAATGAGAAACACACCTCATGTTAGAAAGATTGTAGCAATGATCTATACTCTAGAATTCTCAGATTTTGCTGTTGACCTTGGCAAGCTCCATCCCCTCTCTGGGCT